AACTGTCGACTCCGTTTTTAACCTCGTCTGTGAAGTTTTCTCTCATTCAGGACAGATTTCTGTCATTTCAGTCGAGTGCTGCATCACTTTGGACACATTCATCACTTTTAAATCAACTTTTTATTCACCTTTAATCACAAATTAGAGATATTTTAAATCAATTAAAAGTCATTCTGACCATTTGGAGTCATTTTGGACGAGTTTCTTTTTTAAATTCGGAATTTTAATTGGTTTTTTTCAGCATTTTGGTGGAAACACGGAAAATATTCTGAAGTTAAACAAGTTCAATGAAATGAACAAAATAAGATTCAAACTTCAGATGCAGATCTAACGGATGTTTGGTCGTATAAAGAGTCGAGAGCCTTAAAAAAAAACAAACAGCCAAGAACTGAGGAAGAAAACAGAAACCATCACGGATGATGTTTACATCAACAAACTATCGTTGACCTGTTTATTTATTTGTTTATTTATTTGTTTGTTTGTTGATGTTTCCTGATCAACTGAACAATCAGACGGGTTCAGGTGTGAAGAACGAATCACACGTTTCTCATGTCAACGTTATTTATTCTGATTATTTACAGGAAACCTGGAAATTCATGTTTTAGTTTTTTTTCTGGGATTTTTCGAGATATTTTCTGTAATTTTAACAAAACTGGGAAATAAAACGTAAAATAAGAGTTTAAAGAATTACAAACATTTTTCAATCTGTCATATCTACATATATGTGTGTATATATATATACATACATATAGATATACATATATACACATATATGTATGTATATGAAGCTTGTTTGCTGATCAAAGTTTTAATTTTTTAAAACTAATTTTAATTAATTAAAGATTTTTGGTAAACTACAGATTTCTGAACATTTTTTACAGTTTTGTTCTTTTTTCTTTAAAAAGACATAAATACAACGAAATCAACACAAACCACGAAACATGATACGACAGACAAGAATAAATAATAATAATAATAATAATAATAATGAGTGTCTGTGTTCTTGTGCTTCTATCTTTGTGAGGACCAGTTGGATCTTTAAACTCTAAACTCCTAAAATTTGAATTTTTTTTTCTTTTTTTTTTTCTTTTTTTACAACAAAACTGAGAATCTAAAAACTCAATAAATCTCCTTTTATCTCCACCAGCTGCCAAACTGTCCGTCAGAGCCTCGATGGCATCAGCCAACAGGTTTTAAACCTGCTGTAAACAACAACAACAACAACAAACTAAAACAACTAAATATTTAAATTAAATTAAAAGAAAATTCAGCAGCGAGGAGCCAAAAACATTAGAGGAATAAAATAGAATTTAAAAAATCTACAAGAAGTGAAAAAGACGGTAAATGTCTATAAAATGAATGAATGTGTTTATAGGAGATTTAAATTCAGATAAATCGTGGATTTACAGCCTTCATTATTTAGAATAAATATAGTTTTGGCAGATTTTCTCTCACTCACGGTTATTATTTAAATTATTACTTTTTCCTGTAATTCTTCCAAAAATTATCTGGAATTAAACAAAACAATCTGTTAAACAACCATTTTTTAATCTCTAATATACTATTTTTTAAATGTAAATACCTGCAAATATCTGGAGGATAAAGATTTTTGTTTCTCAGTTAAATACAATAAAAATGTTGTAAAATAATAAATGACCATAAATAACAGCACAGGACTTCCTTTTAATGTGAATTAATTCTTTAGATATTATTCTGAATTAAATTTAAAAGAAACAAACAAAACAAACTGATGAGAAAATGGATAAAATAACAAGAAACTGTTCAGAAATTACTTTTAAAAATCTGATTGTTTGACTGTTTTTTGCTGAATTTAATCTTTTAAACGGCGTCGGCGGGTTTTATTTTAACAACACGGATGTAAAGGACGCCTGAGTGGGCTGAAGACGGTTATTTTCTGGATCCTCACAAGGATGGGAGCAGAAACGAGTGTTTCTGGACGTCCTACCTGCTGGGCGCAGGGCTCCTCCAGAGGAACGCCCAGGCTGCGAGGGTTCTTCTGGTAGTAGGACACCAGCTCGCCCAGCGTGCCGAACGACACCTTATCGGACACGAAGTAGGCGCCGATGGACGAGCGCTGGATCCGGAAGTGGTAGACCTTCCCCTCGCTGCGAGCTGCAGGACGGACAGAAACTGATTATCATCATCCACAGGCAGAGCTCAGAGGAGATTTAAAGCTCTGTGGCTTTAAATCAGTTTGATTTCTGAGATTTTATTCTGAAAAGCAGCAGGAACAGGAAGTCAGCTTAACAGAAACATCAGAATCACTTTAAATCCAGAAAGTTAAAGTCAGAACAAGATGTTTTTATATAATCTGACTGTTTAACTCTAAACCCAACAGTGAGCTTCAGGTCAGCTCACTTTGTTCACTTTTTTATTCATCATTTATTCATTTTGCTGATTTCTGTATTTACACAAACGTTCATATAAATGTTTGTTTATTGTGTGTTTTTATTCTTTATTCTCATTATTCTGGTGCTGAACACGTCTCGCTGCAGGTAAAGCTCTTCAATCTTGAGTTTAATTTAGTTGAAAACATCAAACAGCTGATTTAGTGAATAAAATCGTTCTCCTCAGAGCTCCTGGTTCTGAAGACAGAATCATCAGGAAGGAGCTGAAATCAAAGCTCTAAGAAAAGGCGAGTCGCTGAAACAGACGTTGAAATGTTTAAATCTTCTCTAACGTGTTTCCTGGACGTCAGACGGAGACAAACGAGCGTGAACCGGCCGGACGTCGGCGTGACCGAGCTGCTAGCTGCTAGCTGCTAACTGCTAGCTGCTAGCTGCTAACTGCTAACTGCTAGCTGAGTCCTGATGGTTCACATTTGAGCAGCAGCAGCTGGGTGAAGACGGAGCTGCTCCGCTTCCCCCCAGAGACCTGAAGGACCTTGAAGGATGAGGACCTGATAGAGGACAGGCTGGAGGAGGATCAGGAACCAACAGACAAACGAGTTTCAGTGCGACTGAACGGACGGAGCAGCTGGAAGGAATCCTCCATGAATTACTCAGAGATTTAAAAATAACTGAAAATGTGGCAGCAAGAAGTAAAAATAATCAACCTGTGAACATGATGCTGAAAAACGGTGAAAATCACAACAAATATTAGAAAAAAACGACATTTTTATCTGATTTATGATTTACATTATTTACAGTTTGTCCTTTTATCCACTCAACAGGATGTTCTGTGGAATTTAAAGAAAACATTTAAAAAATATGTTAAATAATAGGTTAAAGATTTTATTATTTTTCTATCTTTAATATGCTTTTTTT